CGGGCCGACAGGGGCACACAGGGGCACAAGGACACACGCGCGCGAACACATCCAAACCTTCGGACACGGAACCCCGAGGAGACACCAACGCCCACAGTGGAACGTCCAGAGCGACAAACACGAACACAGAAGCTAAGAGACCCCTGAACCGAAAGAAGAGGAGCAGCGTTGCTTTGTGACAACAGTGAAGGCACATGCATAAAGATAGGGTTTGGGTTATCAGAGTTTTGTCTCATCTACGTGCAGACAACAAAGGACAAAATGTCAAGGTGGTAATGTCAAGCCATTGTCTAAACATATCCAAAGTCTTATTACCTGACCTGTGAGACGTTTTCGCAATGGCAGTACAGCTTTGCTGAAAAGCAACCAACAGGAAAGAAACCACACTAACAGCAAAGTTGCTTTGTCAGGAAGGAGGGCAAACGTTGTTACCCTTGTAGCACCTGTACCTCATTGCTGTGTAATGAAGTGGCACCTTCAATTACCCATAAAGGGAGAGAGCAATTTTCTACTCTGAGAGGGGAAGCAATAAAATACAGTTTGTAGGCCTTAACTGTTGTATCAATACATAGTATGGATATATTTCACTTTTAGCATGCAGAAACCTCCCATCACATAAAGCTGTAAGGTTGATTTTGAGAAGAAAAACATTCCTTTTTTTTTTTTTGAGAAGAAAAAAGATTCCATATAATAGCATGGCTTTACACAAAAATTTAAATATAAATATTAGTTAAATTTCTAATATTTAATAATTTTGAGCTGAATTCCTATTGAATGTAATTTTTTTAAGCTGATGAAATATTGAAAAACCATAGCAGTGTTCTGTTAGCTTGGTGCTATGTTGGTTTTTTTCCTTTTTAATGATAAATGCAGAATTATTTAGTTCCTCCTCACACATACAGTCTTCTCTCCAAGGACTGGGATCCCATTGTGCTCCCATTCACTCAATTTTGATTCCATTTTATTTGGCATTCTGTTCCTTAAGGACACTGGAACAAAGAAGGCTTACAAATTTATAACAGTGTATTGCTAACAAAGCTCACAAAATCAACCATATCTCCAAAAGACCATTTCAGTCTTCCAGCATTCCTAAGCAAAACCACTTTCATTCACTATGCTGCCCTCTTTCTCCACCAATCAGTTGCACACACAATCGATATGTGTGTATACATCAGTTGCACTGTTTTTTGTAACTGTAGCACACTGGCCGTGGACAACAAGTTCATTGCCAGTGATAATCCCCCAGATTTCTTTCAAAGTTCTTTTTTTTTTTTTTACAAGATTTTTTCTTTCTATTTGTATTTCAACTTACTGTATTCAAGGTCACTCATTCTCATTTTGTAATTTTCTTTTTGTGGTTTATGGTCTCTGTATACAAACAACAATGGCAACAGCAATGGCAGCTAATAAGTAATGAATAAATAATTTTATATTTCTAATATAAATGCTTTCAGAAACATTGTCTTTTGCTCAGCCTGCCAGGATGTAATGTCAGGAATTTGATTAGCATTTCCCATACAATTCAATACTCATTATATTGATAGCAGAAATCAAATTATATCATACAAAATGATACCATTGTTTGTGTTTGGAAAGTCGATATTTGTTGCTGTGGATGATTTAAGCCTCTGCTATGCTTTTTCTGTATTTCATTAAAAACTCCGCTGGAATTTCATTGTCTCTTATTCTACTGGAACTTCTGAAACAAGTTTCTGGTTTCCTTTGTGTCTTGGAAGAAAAAACAAAGTTAAAAAAACCCAAACAAACCAAAGGCTTAAGATGAGTAAAAGTAGTTACCATAGAACAAGGTTACCTTAGAACAGAGTGAGAAGAATATTGGGGTTTCTTGAATAGTAATACTGTGACAATTTTAAAAGTACCAGTTCTGTGTAATTCCAGTGCATACAACCCTGAAGAACACTATCCCTCCCCTGTTGTACAGTACTGAAGATTCAAAATATTTAAATTACCACAGAATCATAGATTGGGTTGGAAGGGACCTTAAAGATCATGTAGTTCCAACCCCCTGCCATGGGCAGGGACACCTTCCACTAGAACAGGTTGCTCCAAGTCCCATCCAACCTGGCCTTGAACATTTCCAGGGATGGGGCAGCCACAGCTTTTCTGGGAAACCTGTGCCAGGGCCTCACCCCCTCACAGGGATTTCTTCCTAATATCCAATCTAACTCTTTCAGTTTGAAGGCATTATCCTGGCAAGGACAGTGACGTGTTTTTCAAAAAAGATAGTAGCAGAAAAATACCATGTTTGATTTCTTTGTTGATGAGAAAAATTAATGAAGAGGTCATAACAGTTGCTATTTCTTTAGGAGGTTCATTTGTGTTTTCAGTTTAATTGAGGCTTACCTCTCCTTTCTACATAAAAAAGTCAGACGTGCCAGGACTGCAACACCGACTATTCCAAATACACAGCCAAGAAGAATTAGTTGTTCAATAGCTGAAAAACAGACCAATGACAAAAAACCCAGGAAGACTTTGATACATTTATTCATATCTGTTTGAATGCAGTCACAAGATGATTTTTGAAATTGTACATACAATTTTTCTGTTCTTTTTATTTGTGGAACAAACTGCCTGCCTTGGCATGGGGGTTGGACTAGATGGTCTCCAGAGGTCCCTTCCAACCCTAACTATTCTGTGATTCTCTGAAACTGGTACAGATCAGGAACTCACAGAACTTCTGCATTTGACTGCTGGAACAGGTGGCTGTAAAAGCTGTTGTAACTCAAAGAAAGGGTGGCTAGTGGATAATATGTAATCATCATCGTGAATGTACAATATTTATGCAGAACTGCCAACCCCTGAAACTGGATTTTTTTCAATCCTTTGTCCATATATTGCTAAGATTTTGATTTTTAGCTGGATGTTACTTGTGATTTTACTAGAATCTCCTTTTTGGTTATGCTTGGATGGCTTCTTTGTTCTTCCTCTGTGATACTGTGTGAAGAGAGGTGTCTGTGGTACTGGCGAGACTTGCAGTGGGATTGTAATTAGAAGCATAGCAAAATAATTATTAGTAGAGGACTTCCATGGAAATTTTAATTCAAGAAAGCAAAACTCAGAAGCAGCAATATGCAGGCTCAACAGCATAATTTGTATTTGAAGTTTCAAATACTGAAGTGGACTTTGCAAAATAACTGGCATAAATTTTCTTGTTTCTGTCTCTCTTCCTATCCAGTTTTCATAATATCAAATAGTAAGGAAGGTCTTTGTTGCAATCAGATCAATAAAATTCTTTCATACCTTGTTGTTCTTTGTCATCTTTCAGGAAACCATTGCACAGCACTGTGGGGTTTGTTTGCTTATCCATAAAGGTGCATCACGTCTCCATCATTCTGAATGCAATTAATCACTGCATGTTTCCCAGCTCCTTCCCTCTGATCATTCAGGGCTGGCTTTCTGCCCCCTTTTTCTAATGTAAATGTCAGCATCCGTTTTGCTTATTGAGACTGATTGGCTCTTAGCCACCATGTATGTGGTTGATGGCAGCAGTGGAAAAATGTTCTTAGCTTTCAGCTTGGCAGAGTGTTTTGCCACTGGCTTTTTAAGATCTGGCCTTTGCACATTTGTCTGCTGCCCAAACTCACTGCGGTTCATCTTACAAATATCACTAAACGTGCAGAGCTGCATTCAAAACGTACAAGCAATTGGTACAGGCCAGCAGAGGCTGATGAAATGTGTCAGCATGACAGGAATTCATTGCTGAAGTGAGGTGCACATTGCACATTTCTTTGGAAGGTGCTCAGAGTGGAGAATCTGTTGGTATGAACTATTTGATGGAGAATCTCTTGGTATGAATTATGAGTGCTTTTGGGAACTATTAACATAGCATTAAAAGTGCTTCAAACGTGCCATCTGGCCTTGCATCACCTTGGTGCTTTGAAATATTGCCATCTTGAGGACGTTTGGAGTGTATGTGGTGAATGATTAAAAGGAAAATTTTGGGTTGTTTTCTGTAAATCATAGAGACAGCCTAACTGCTACTAAATCCAATTGTTAATCTAATGGGACTAACACAAGAAAGATAATAAAATTTTGTTAGTTATCCTAAATACTATTACATCATTCATTACATTACATCATTACAATAGTTTTGCTGCCATAGAATGATACATTATGTTTTGAGATAACATAACCCTTCAACAAGCATTCAACAAGTGTGGGCTCTGTCTGCTCTCAACTCACAGAATCATGGAACAGCTGACATGGGAAGGGACCTCTGGTGGTCATGATGTCCAACTCCCCTGTTCAAACAGGACCACCCAGGGCCAGTTGCCCCCAGGTCCTTTTCTGTAAAGTTTCTCTTCAAGTGCTCATTTTATAATGTGTGGCTTCATAACTCACCCCTCAGATGGCTCAGACTGGATATACGTTTGCCCCAGTTAGTTGCAAAGGAAGTTAAAACTGTATTGGTGATGACAGAATGAAAGATGACACTAAGTGGTTGGGGGCTGTGCCATCATTTATACTTGAAAAGTAGCTCAAATTATGTGGATACTAAAGGTTTCCAATAATCCATAGTTTCTCTTTTTAGCTAAGTACTATGCTTTCCTGTTTTTCTAAGAGTGATTTTGAAATTTATGTTAGGTCATCCACTCAAGAAGCATGCCTGCCAGTTCCTAGCCAACCCTACAGAAAGGGAAGCTTGTAGCCCTAAACCCTTAGAAAGAGTAGATAGATTAAATAATTTTTAAAAATATTAAAAAATTTTAAAGCCCCAACAAAACCCATAAACCCATCATAAATTACCTGTTATTTAGATTTGAATGCTACTCTCTCTGGAAATCCAGAGATCTTATGTCCAACATTTTCCCAAGTAAAAGAAGTTTTTGTTGTCAAGGGCCATCATGGTGCACTGAGATTGCCTTATGTGTGATAATGATTTTATGACAACATGTAACATTTAAAAGGCAACAGACCTGTTTTCTGGATGCAACTGGGTGTGTCTCCAGACCAGGCCCCCGATGTTTGGCAAGTTCTTTCCTTTGACCCGGTGAGTTCATAGCCCTGACTGCAGAGGAAAATGATGGTTGAGCCTAGCAGGTAGTTAGTTCCATTCTTTGTTCCATTGATTGGATGGTCCAGCCAGCCACAAGAGACCACTAGTAAAAAGAGACATATCTGGTGAAAGTATTTTTGATTTGGACTAGCAAATCTCCATTACAATGATTCAAATGGCATTTTAGTGGCTACTCATGGAAAGACAAAGACTTTTAGGCAATCTGAATGAAAATACTTCTGATACTTTTAAAATTATTATTATTTTTAAGTCCGAGGACTACAGGTGAATGCATAGAAAATGAAGATAAAGTTTCTACACTGCGGTGTAGGAAGAAATGGAAAGAAATATATTTTGTGTTTGCCTAAGTATTCCTCTAGTGCAGAGTTTTCCTGGTACAAGGACAATTCCTCCTGATAAGAGTATTTACAGGTGCATGAACCTACAGTTAAGCAAAGCCTCCTCAAACATTGTTAACTATTTAGATGCCCTATAAAAATAACTGTAGTGATGCCCTGTATGGGCCATTCACTTAAGAGTTGGACTCCATGATCCTTGTGAGTCCCTTCCAACTCAGATTCTGGGATTCTATAATGATGCTTTGAGGAATGTTGTATCACCTGGCTCCAGATGTTCTACCAGCAGCTTGTGATTCTGATGAGATAGTCTTGTGGAATTTCCCACTTGAAGGCTTCTTGTTGTCAGGACATCGAATCTGCAGAACGGGTCAGAGCCACAGAGTGAGACCATCTCTTCTACCAGGGGATCAGCAGGGTCTTCATAAGGGAAGAACACGGGCAGGAAGGAAGCACTGTGCTTCTCCCCATAAAAGAAATTGTTCAGTAAGAACTCTGTGTCATAAGTAAAGAGAGAAGTTCCATTCTCAATAGCCCCTTGGGAGACAGAGAAAGAAAGAGAGAGAGATTCATATGTAACATTGCCTGCACATACCCACTTGGGTAGAGGAGAGTATATTTCTCTTACTCTCTCCTCTCAGTACTGATTGCCTGGCACAGACTTCATTTCCTAGCCTTTCAATCACAAGCTGTTTTGAATTTGTAAAGAAAATGTAATAATAGACCAGAGAAATTACTTACAGTTAGCTCCAAACTCAAACAACTGCTGGGGACTTGCATGAACTGGTAGGGTGGTTTTATTCCTGAAAGTGTATTCATCCTCTGTATTGCCATTCATTACCCCAAAGAGACCCTGTGTGTGATTCATGAACTTCTCTGGGAGCAGAACTGTCAGGGTCAGAAATCCTCCACTTCCTCGTATTTCCACTCCACACCCAGAAGAGAACATCACTGTGATGTTCTGATCAGGTGTAGAATGGAGAAAGAGACCTATAACAATGAGAGGAAGAGGACAAAATACCTAATTATCCATAGTGAACAAACTGTTGTGTTTTAGTATCACTTAAAATCATCATCAGTTATAACCATTTCTCATAAAGCTTTTCCTCCCTTCCACTTTGGGCTACACTGAGAAGCATTTAAAGGAAAACCACACCTTCATACTACAATTACAGTAAGATGGCTACTACAGAGCAGTAGCAAAGAAAGGTCCACTGCTGATATAAGATGCACTGCCTTCTGCCAGTGTCCCAGACCAGAAGCTCTAAGATATGAAATGACTGCATCAGAGAGTGGCTGTGAGCTGGCAGCATCACTCTCAGTAGTCACAGCTTTCCTCTCCTTCTTCCTTGCTGGCAAATCAGATGGCTCTGCCTCTTCCTGAACACAGCTTAGGTGCTGCCAGTTAGCTGGTGATGAGCAATGCAGGTTCTGAGGTGCTCACCTGAACCATGACTCTGCTACACTTCTCCATGGGAACACAGACAGCCACAGCGTGTTTCCCTGTAGCATCCCTGATCCATGGCTATTTGGAAGGAGATGTATAGCCCATAATTCTGGTGGCTACATTCCTGCTATACTCCTGTTGATAGTCAACAGTCTCAAAAGCCAGATGAATCCGGGCACTGGGTTAGCATAAACAAAAGGCCAGGTGGGTAAACTGGATGGAAAGGGCATTCTACCCCCTGCTCTCAGTTTTATCTCTTTCACAAAGGTGCATGTCAACAGTGTACTACCACTGATTCAGCCTCAATCTGGCAGCAACTGAAGAAAGTCATGTAATAATAAAATAAATTCTAATGAGTTGGGACACTGCCTGTTCTCTGTTTACTTCATACATATTTTTTTCTGTGACCTGCAGGTTGTTTTCATAAAAGGATGCTAAAAAGAGAGTTGAAATGCATGCATCTAGATATATTTTTAACTGTATATGGGTTCCACTGGAATACAATAGCTTACAAGGCTGATATTTGTAACTAACCTTTCAGGTCCATCCAGGTCTGTTCAGAGAAGTTGAGAACCTTTTGGTTTAACAGGACCTCCAGATTCAAATCCTCTGAGTACCGTACTTCAATCACATCAGAGTTGTTCTCCTGCATGGCCACTGCAGACAAGCCTGTCCCCTGAGCTCCAGTTCCTTCCAAATAAAAAACCAATCCCCTAAAATACTCAACATGATATAAAGTAAATATAGAAGGTTATAGCAATACAGGAAAAAAAAACTCAAACAGATATTTCCTAAAAATAATGAAATATAATTATTTATATTTAAGGGAACGGCTAAGCATATAAGTCATATAAAACCCCACAGTATACATCTCCTTCCAATACATTGAAAGCAGAATGTTTAATGCTAGAAAAGACTGGAAACTCTAAATTCTTCATCTTAATGGCAGTGGCTATACTATATAAGAAGGCTGACTGATCTGCTTGTACATTCAGTCCTGTGAGTAAGGTCTGGGAAAACTGAAGATGATTTCAGGGAGGGCATGACAAAAAAAGGAAACAGAATAAACAAAAATTTAAGAAACTGATCTTCAGAAGAAACTGCTCAGTGACTCATGCTACTTATGCCATAAACACAGTAAAACCTATCAAGGGCAAAACATTTCCTTGAGAATCTCTGTCCTATCCAATGTGATATTCAGTATAAGCTGTATATCTACATGGGTGCTGAAATGCACAGACAATTTTTAGTTCATCCATATAATTGTACCAGAAGTACCAAATCCTTGAAGAGCATCCTTAAGGCCAGGTGGGATATTCTTTACTGAGCCAAGTCTGTTATTTTATGCACCACAAAATAGCACTAGATACAGGAAAAGCATAAACAAAAGTATCTTTTCAGCCTTATGAGAAGCATGATCCCATTATGCTCTTTCACACTCTACTTTTCCCTCACTTTAAAATGCAGCTGTATGACAGTCTCCTTCTTACAGGCTGGTTTGCAATTTGCCCTTTCAAACTGTGAAGGCCACAGGTACCTCCAGAAAGCTTCTTCTGCCCTAGGTTGTTGTCAGCCTTCTGATTATCTTCAAAAAGGTGACCTTTCCCAAATGGCCAAAAAAGAGACGACAGAAGGAATGCTGTAAAGTGCAAATCAAGCAACCTCAGAAGCTTTCATTTGTCATCACTGCTTTCTCTTGCCAACTTACCATTGGGAAGGCGACCCTGCTGTGTCCTCCCTTGCACTCTTAGGGATGTGAGATCAGACTCTACCAACAGGTATTCTCCTAGGCCATTGAAGGTGAAGTTCAGACCATCAAATGTGAAGAAATGAGGATCCCCAAAAGCAGATGCTATTTTTGAAAGCAAAATGAGAAATAAGAACAAGCAAAAATCACAACCCATTACTCCTGTTAAGTTCATGAGAAATAAAAATAAATCTCATTGTGGTGATCCGAAGAATGGCATTTAAACAAAGGATAAAATGCAAGGCTGATCTGATCCATGGTAAATGGGATATGAGGAACAGCCATGAGAACCTTGAACAATGAGAAATGTAATTCCAGTTACTTTCATGTTCTTTGGCCAACATTCAGAGCTGCATTTTAAAAGGCTGCTTTTTCCAAAACCTTTGATGGGGTTTCTCTAAGCAGGCAAACCACTCATTTGTGACCCCCAGCTACCTACTGCAGTGCCCTCTGCAGTTTTCTCCTTTCTTCCTGCTGCAAACTGCTGCCTCTTTGCACTTTCCTTATTTATGGGAGGCCATGTCCTGCTGGACACCTCAGCATCCGAGCAGCATAGAAGGCAAGACATGTGGCAGCAGTAGAGATATGGCAAGACTTGAGGACTTACTTCAAAGCAAGGGGCAGGAGCAACAGACACACTGTAAATGGTAAAACTTCCTTATTTCATATGAATAACATGACAGCTTTTCTAGCTACTGCCTACCTGTCTTAAACCATCTCTAACCATCTTCTTTATGAAAAAGTGTTCAGTGATGGCAGAAAGTCTTGGGCATTGACTACTAAGCTTTGGCTATTTATGTTCCAGGGGTTAATGAGATACTCAACAGCAGAAAATCTTGCAGGACAACTAAAAAACACATACAGATTTTGTTACTGATAGATCAATGGAAACATTCCATGGAATTTTTCCACAGAACATTGTACCTTCTCCATTGTCAACTAATATATGTACATATACAAGTATTCTAAAAGCCAACACTGTATCAAAAGGCAATACTCCATAAGGGAATTATGAAGCCCTTACCAGCTCGAGGTGGGCGATACGTCCTGCAGTCACTAGAGGGACGCCTTTTCATATAGAACTGACAATTATCAGACCACAGGCAGCAGTAATAGAAGCTGATAACATCATAAAGCCAATGGGAAAAGCCAGGTATCCGGGGAGGTTTCAGGAAAGGTGGTGAACCCCAGTCATGGCCTCGATCGGGTGTGCTGCCTCCCGTGGAGTCATGTGTGAGGATCTGTGTTCCCGTGGAGTCATAGCAACACTGCTGTCCTGCTGCATACTGGGGACTGGTGGAGAGAAGCAGCAAGAAAATCATCATTCAGCTCTGTGAGGTTCCTTTGTGTTTAGGGGTTGCCTATTGCCTTTTTATGGGTACAGCTAAACGTTTCGGTTGGCAAACTTTGTATGATGCCCAGTTAGACTTCACCCCACCCCTCTTGGTTCTTATAAATTAGACCAGAGTAGGGACAGGGAGGGAAGGGTTTTTAACCAAGGCAGGAAGGAAGGACTTGGTTAAAAGGCCTTCTCTAGGCCTTATAGCTACACGAACATACCACTCTTTGAAGTTGTTCTTACAGAAATAGTGCAAAGATTAACTTGTTGAACTTAATTAGACCAACACAGAAAAGGCTTAATTAGGGCTACTCAGATCTATTCTAACCATTAGCTCCTGTTTAGGTATCCTAAGGTTTCACATGCTGCAATTTCTTGTTTATTAAACCTAAGGCCTTAACTTCATCTCAGCAGTGAGGGTCAGTATATGAGTAAGAGGGAAACAGTGGTTGCTATGAACCTGAGTTAAGATGCCAGAGACCTTTGTGCCTTCTGTGGTGCTGCTGTCTCTGAGATGGAATAAAAAAAATGCAGTTCAAAAAATTTTCTCTACCTGGCTTGAATGGCTCTCACACAGTGCACAGCACCAGGGTGATAAGTACACACACTCCCCTTCTCAATGTTGCAGCCATAATCTGTCTGAAAAAGATCAATGTTCACATTTAATGGGGATATTTCCCCGTTGTCCTTTCCATCTATGTATCCTCCCCTCACCCTTTGTATCTGACATATGTGTAAAATCTACATGAACTGTTTGAGGCTGTGTGTTGAATAGCATGGAATGACAGGAAAAACAGTGAATTTAATACTGTAGTATTTGGGCCAACAGGCTTAAGCTGAGCATTTTGCAGTCTATTACAACAGACATTGAAGAACAAGAGCAGCTAGATGGGATTCAACTATAAGCATATAACAAACACAGATCACAACAGACTAAAAGTTTGTCCTATGTTCTTAGACAGAGGCAGTGCAGTGGATCTATTTTTTTTCCTTCATATGCTTTTAACTGTGTCATTTGGAATACACATGAAATTTGGAGGTTCATAACCAGAATAAGATGGTAGTAAAATCTACCTAATTTTTTTTTAATATGTATAAACACACTGCCACCATTTGTTATCACAAATAGGAGACAAAGCTCCCCTCAACTGGTCCTCAGATCAGCACTGCAACTGAAAGTGTAGATTAAATGGCAATTGATTTCTTAGCTTTTGTCAGTTCCTTGTTACACAGTGGAGCTGAGAAAGAGGAAGGAAGCAGGAGAAAGGAAATAATGGATTATGGCTCTGGACTTGAGCTCTGAAGCACAAGGCATAAGGGCCTGTGGTGAAGTCTGACATACTAGGAAGAAATGTGGCCTGCTTCTTCCATCCCAGGATATCACCTATGAACACAGACTGCCATCCTGCAGGATCTTGAAGAAGACAACCCTGCTCTCAGCTCCACAGAGCTCACTGTCCTCCATGGTGTTTTCTGTCTACCACTGGAATTACTGTCTGAATTCCCTGTTTGAAGGTAATTTCCATCTGCTGTCCTACAGGCACTTCTTTTATTCATACTACCTGAATAAGCTGTATTTGCCTCTGCTATTTGACATGCTACTGGTGCAAGTTTAAACATAATTTAATTGCCTTGTAATGACGTTTAGAGAGGGAACAGGGAGGTGTGTGGAGTATGGCATTCCCTAAGCTTCTACTTGGAACTGTCATAAGCCAAAGGGATCAATCAATAACTTACATGGAACCTGCCAGTGTCAGCTCTTGCCTGTGCCAAAGTGCAAGGGCAGTCTATAATTTCTTCCTTGAAGTTTGGAAGCTTCTCTTCCTTTCTGTCCCATTCCATACATTTTGCAGTTGCCCATGCATTTGGGTCATCCCTGAAGTCTTTCCCGAGGTGCCAAGCCAATGCATGCTCGTTGCTCCAGAGTGATGGAATGTTGCTGGGAAAAAAAAAAAAGAGCCAAAAAATAGATCTGAGAGCTGAACAAGCACTGTTTTGACAGTAACACTGTCAAATCACTAACTATAATTACGAAGTATTTTTTAACTTGCAAGGTGTTATTTCATTACAAAGCCCATTGCTTTCTTTTTCCTGCAAAATGTTATGGCAAATCAAAATTTTCCAAATTCAGAAAGTGAGAGGGCAGCATGCAGCAAGTACACAATAATCAGAATACGTTTCAATATTCATGATTCTGGCTTACCTGAATCCTTTTAGAGACAGGTTTTCTATTCCTGCCTTTTGACATTGTAGTTCTATTTAGGATAGAATGAAGAACATCTGGATTCTCTAACAAAACATAACCCTGTACCCCAGTAGTAGCAGGGCTAATGGCAACAGACAGGGAAAAAACATTCAGAATCCATAAAATGTTCCAAAACTACTCTGCTTTCTACCCATGAAAAAATATCATATACAAAGCATAATAAAAATCCCTCAAGAAGGAGAAAAAGTTACCCTTCTCTGGGTAATGAGTCCTAAATGCTAAAGAAGGTTTTGACATATTAGCAACATGTTCGAACTCTGAAGAGGTGGCATTTATATATTCACAGAATCTACACCATCTACATCAAAAACTGCAGACGTGGAAGAATTATGAGGGATAGGCAAGGTCAGAATATGTATGGAGCACTTACAGAGGTAATTCACCAAAAATCATGGGAAAATATACAATGAAATAAAAGGAAGTGGTCATGAAATCTGTAGGAATGCAAAGGCTGCATACAAAATAGAAAAAAATTTAAATGCAGAGGAAGGCCTGTGGCTGCAGTGACAGAAGTTCCACAGTTAGGGACTCCTCTACAGGTGTGACAAAAAAATCGGCAGATCTGAGTCTGCTGAGGGTACTGGGTTTGGCTGGGGTGCAGTAATTTTCTGCAGGCAGCCCATAGGGTCCTGTGGTTCAGCTTTGTGACCAAACAACTGTGATAACACACAGTGTTCTGGTTACTGCCAAACGGTGCTTGCACGGTGTCAAGGTCCTCTGTGTTTCTCATGCTGTCCCCCAGGAAACAGGCTAGGGCTTGTCAAGAGGCTAGGAGGGAACAGAGCCACGACAGCCAATCCAAACTGAACAAAGGTATATTCCATACCATGTCCATCAATAAAACTACAGCAGTTTTTCCAAAGCAGCCCCCATGGGGTGACTGAGTGTGCATCGCTCTGCTTGTGGCAGGTGGTTACTGATTGCCTTTGCCTTACTCCCTCTCTGCCCATGCCCCTCTTAATAAACATGGGAAAAACCCATGAGTTTTTCCCACTTTTGCCCTTCCAATTCTCTCCCCATTTTTTCACGTGAAATGGAGCCTGAGTCCCAGTTTTAAATGCCGAAGGATATATCAACTTTACTTCAGGAAGCAATAACAAGGTACCTATGATTAATGAAAGCTGTGATGCACTTGCCTCTGCCCATCAGAATAGCTGCTGGGTGTAATCCTCAAAATTCCGAAGTCCCACGTACTGTAATTTCCTTCAGCAGGTACAGGAGTGAAAGTAAATTTCCCTGTATTGGGGATTTCTCTGGCCAAAGTATAAAGATATTTCCATTCAGCCAACCAGTTTTCTGAGTAACTGTCACCTGTCACACAGAGGAAGAAAATGGTTTTGGACACTGGAAAAGAACAATTACCACAAGACTGAAATTAGATGTCTCCACATAAGTAAATTAAGAGGAAAAGCTGACATTACTGTCATGAGTTATTTATACTTGCAGATCTCTTCTTGAGGCCTCAGTGAAAGGGGTCACATGCTCTGCAGAGTTCTGCACATAAATCATGCAATAACTTACAATAAATGTTTGTGCACAGGTAGGAAAAGTGTCGCTTTACCTGTTTCATGGTATCCCCAGACTTCTATGTTGACGTGGGTTTCTGCAAGTGCCTGATGTGTCCAGGTAAGAGTTAAGTTTCCATAAGTGTTGGGGGTACCATAGTATTGCCATTTTGTCTCATTCACCAAAGTACATTTTTCTTCATCTGAAACCTTGCTGTGATGTACTGCATTACAGAGCAGAAAAAAAGGACTAATGACATTTTTGCTTTGCATAGTTCTGAAAAAGTGCTACTATGTTATTTAAGATTTAGCAGTGTTTCCCCTGTGTATGTTTGACACAGTACAGGATGCACAACATAAAGAGAGTAAGCTGAAGCTGAGCCCTTACTAATGTTTGAACACCACAGAGCAGTTATTTTTTAATAGAAGTAGTGACAAAAAGGTAACTGTTTTGGTCAACCTCATTTTTAAGCAGGACTTTTTATGAGTTAATGCTGCTGCTGCTACCGTATAGCAGCAGAACTCAATTGCCATAAAAGTTCATCTCTCAAGAGATGAATTAGCATAAGGACAGCAAGAATTACTTCTTTGAGGCCTGTTAAAGAAGAAGAAAAATGATCAAAAAGGGAAGGCTTATGTAAACTTGCATCCAACAAGGAAGAATACAGGAAGAAGAGGAATGGTGTAAATTTAAATAAGTCACCTGATAGCCAAGTTCCAGAGTAGGGGAACGTCCTCCCATCATCTACAGAAACTTCAAAAGGGATGAAACCAGTCTCATAAAGCAACGGGGAGATGCAGTGGCCTTTTCCATCCTTAGCAGTATAGCCACTGGTTTTGATTTCCTGCTTGAACCTGTAGGTGTTGAAAACACTTTTCAGTGGCACCATTGAGAGAAGGAAAATTCTGAATGTCTCAGTTGTGTTTCATCAAGCAACCTTGTGTCCTGAGCGGATCATTTAAAGTCCCATCTGTTCAAGTTCAAGTTTTGCTCGTAGCAATGAATATAAACTGAAAAAATTTGTTTGTGCTTATTTCACCAGTGTGGAACCTGCTGTGCACTGCACAAATACACAGCAGTCTACAAGCCTTCAATTTACTATTTAATTACTGGGGGAGGGAGAAATTATAAATTAGCAGAATAATGATTGTATCACACAATAACTTGACTTAAAAGAAATGATCCTGTGTAGAAATACAGTCAAAATGTACCCTTGAGGGTGAGGTTCAGCAGAACTTTTGTGTGTTTCAGGACTCTAACAACTTTACAAAGTTTTCACTCCTGTACAGACTAGTCTTGTTTCATGGTATTTACCTATAGTTGGAAAGTGAGATTATATAAAATCATGGCCCACCTGCATGTTAGCACAGAAGAGGTATTAAAAGCTGTATTTTCAATCAAAAAGTCTTTGCCTCCCATCAGAGATCCTGAGTACGGAGAAATCTGAAGACAAAATTCTTTATAATCAGGGCAGCAATTCCCCAAGGACTGGCATGTCACCTGGCAAGAACAGGTACTGAGCAGCTCCCCACACTGGTGTGAGCAAGAGTCTTGAGCTCCTTGTTAAAGGAAATAAAAAACATATAGACAGGAATGTTATTGAACTTTTCTAGATGTTCTCTAAAACAAAAGTGTATCATCTAAAGGATTACTGTAAATCAATAAAGTATGCTGGTTATGCTATTTTAGGAATGTATTTAGGTGAAGGCTGTAATCACCTGCATGTTAGGGCTGCTCCATTTTGAATAGGAAAATACACTTATTTACCTCCAAGCCACTACATAATTTCATCACTTCCATGGGTAATTTTACATGCAAGAGACAGATAAATCTCCAGAGCAGCCCTTCAGTGAATGTCACTAATTATATTTATTTCTGAGAGTTAAGTCTTAAACGTATCAGAATGGGGTTCCCTCACCATCAACCCTAGAAGGGAATCAATAAGAACAGAAGGTTAAAGTTAATATCAGAAGCAAGATGTGCTCCAATACGAGATTATTAAAAGCTACTGAAATTTCTTTCTTGTTGTAAAATTTGGAACCAATTATCAAAAAGTTATTAGGGGAGGGTTGCTTATTTGGGAGGACACAAATAAAAAGAAAGGCAGGGTTCAAGGTGGGTGGTGAAGAACAAGCATGGGGAAACGGGAAGAAGGGAGGTAGAAGTGCTTGTTCAATAAAGGGAGCTAGAAAGATTTTCTGCCTTTAAATATATTGACTGCATTCTCCAGATTGTCTGTTTACTTACAGAGAAGATCCACTGACCTGCTGGAAATTACAGAGGAAGGAAATGAAAATGACACCATGCTGGTAAAAGCTGACTTGTGTGCCTTTGCTTTAGCTGGTACAAATGGTATCAGCAATTTCTTACCGAGGTGTGTATTCTGAAGTTCAGAAGTTAAAAAAGTTTGTAGATAAAAGCAGCAGAATCTTTGAAAATCACTCACCTGCATTCTGAAGAGCAGTAAGGGTGAAGAGAATGAAGAAAGAAACAATGAATTTCATATTTTGTCCAGATGATTCAGGATGGCTGATTTCAGTAGTCTTTGTGCCAGTCTGAGAAAAGCCTTTTATAGAACGAGGTGTCCGGGAATAAACAAGATTCTCACTGTTCAAAGGTTTGTTGTAAACTACTGAAGCAAGACAAATGGAAAGAAATGTTCCTTTTCAGAGGTCATGTCCAATTCAGGAGAAGATAGAGGGGGTAGGAGAGGTAGTCACTTGAACTCCTACACATTATTTTAATAGTTAAGTTTTTCTGAAATGGAAGTAGATGTTTATCATTTTTAAAAACGTTCCTGCTTCAAAGTTCAAGACCACAGAGTCATTGGCACTGGGTCTATGCTTTAATTTTACTGGAGGAATTAAAACCAGTTATCAGCTAGAAGAACGATAAAGAATAGATGCTGACAGTACAGTTTTGCTTAGCAGATAATGAGGCATTGAAAAAGTGTGATTATTGCATGGTATGTGCCAGCACGAGGGCTGTAAACGAGAGAGGTAAAAAGATATTCTGAGGAAGGTATAATTGAGAACGGTGGCTTAATATTAGAGCTATGAAATGGGCTACAGAATGTCTCAGACAGAAGCACAGGGATATTCTGGAAAGGAAGTAGGACCGCACCGATGCACTAACAGCCAGTAACAGAACAGGGACATTACCATGGAGGGGTTTTAGGGGCTACTGAAAGAAAGCAAAGCATATCCCATTGATCTGATATGTAAAATATCAGTACATAAGATAAGAACCTCCTTGGCCTTGATTACACCAAGGGCAGAGTAGAGTCTGGAATGATGACAGGGAGTCTGGGGAAGCAAGGCTATTCAGAACCAGATAACCATATCAACAGTATCATGTAAGGCTGTGATAATTCTGGTACATTTGTAGTGAAATGGGGACCAGGGGTCAAAAATAATTAAAGGCACATTGTTTAGCTGAAAGGCATTCAGGTAAAGAAAAGAAAGTGCAATGGCAGCAGAAGGGACTTCAGGAGGTTTCCCTCATTCCCTGATGTCCCAAATATTCCAAGTGTCCCAGATGTCCCTGATATCCCAAATGTCCTAGATAATCCTGATGTCTCTGATGTCCCAGATGTCCCAAATGTCCCCAGTGTCTCTGGAGAGAAATGAAGTTTAACCCAGCAACGTTTCGGGGGTTTAACAGCAAATTCATGCACATTCTTGTTCATAACAATAAGGTTATTGCTTTTCACAAGCCATTTTTCTACATCACTTCAAGGCCATTGATCTCTTTCTATCTATGGTGGTGTCCAGAGGCTGGAGTTCCAGGTCACTGGGGGGCATTGGTGGGGGATTGAGCAGAACTAGGCAGGAACCAAGGGGTCTGGGTGGCACCAGGAATTAGTGGGATGCACTAGTGGTTGACTGGGAAGAGCTAGCTGTCACTGGGAGGTGACTGGGAGGCACTGGGACTCGGGGGGCCACAGGGGGGTCCTGGTACCTGGGGAGGGTCCCCCTGCCATCGTCCCCCCCAGCCAGGCTGTGGGATGTACCCAAGTACTCCCGTCCCACACGTGCTGGTTGGATCCTGGAGGGTCTTGCAGGGGGCTATGGGGCTCTTGGTGGCTTGTAAGGAGTTTTGAGGGGCCCTGAGGGCATATTCTGCCTACCATCAAGTCAGCAGCCCTGGCAGAGCAGCTCTGATCCAAATGCATAGAGACAAGCACACCAAAAAGAAATCAGAGGCAGCCCTAAAAAAACCAGGTACACCTCGACACCTATTCTGGGTGATCCAAACCCTGACCTTAGATGAGCTGTGCTAAGGCCCCCCCTGACTTCACCTGCTACAGCCAACCCCAAAGGTGAGACCCCCAACCCTCCAAGGATTCCAAACACCCCAGCACCTCAAACCAGCCACAAATGCTACCTAACAACCCACAAAGCCATTTTAGAACCCCTAGGCTATTCCCAGCACCCCCTAAAATATTTCAACATCCCCAAAACCAATCCAAGAACCACCAAAATTATCCCAGCAAACCCAAGCCCACCCAAACCCCTCCAAGTACCCCCCAAAACCTCTTTGGGCCCCTAAATCCCTCCCAGCAACCCTGCAAGAATATGACATCAGTTTGCAGCTGTGCCAGTTCAGTTAATGCCGAGGGAAAATCCAAGACTCCTCCAGCAGGAGCATTTTTACTGGACGTATGTAAACAGAGGCACAGCTTTTCACTACGAAGCGAGTTACTGAGATTTGGGGTTGTTTTCAGTTTACTCTGTAAATTTTCACTCCTGACTTTCAGCCCCACTGGCCGAGCAGGAGGAGCAGCAGCGGCGCGAGGGCCGGAGCTGTTGGATGGGTCTGGGAGTCCAGGGTCCCATCCCGGTCCAGCCGTGCCCCGCAGCCCGTCGGGGGGATGTCCCCGCAGCAGAGCCCCGGGGAAGGGGCGAGACATCTCCTGGCGCTGCTGGAGCGCAGGACGGAGCGGAGCCTGAGCGGGAGGCGAGGCACCGCCCTCGGACACGCTGGCCCTGTGCCGCGGGGACAGGAGCTGGGGAGGGCACTTCAACCCTTTGGGGGGCTGCCCTGCCTTTATTTTTGTAGTAGAGACCCCTTTTTTGGGAGGGGGGTACGTTTGCCAACGAAATTATTATAGCAATGAGCTGCTGCCCAGGGCAGTTTGACTCGTTCTGTGCCTTCTCGGGGTGGGTAACAGGGAAGGGGCTGGCGGGTGATGATGTCACTGGGGACACCCCGATGTCACTGGGAGAGCCGCGATGCGGTGCAGGAGCAGGTGAGCTCCTGGGGGATGAACGGGGTAATGTGGGGTCCTCCTGGTGCCTATGAATTTTCGCGATTTTTAGCTTTTTGCAGATTTTAGAAGTAGCTGTAGTTAGCTCACCCTTTAGCACAGTAGTTTACACATTTACCCACCCCTATTACCCCATTTCATAGCTAACTTTCTAAATTCCTTACCTTGTTTAGGTAGGCCTTCTTTCTGTTTAGGAACGTTTGCACCCAGGCCTCAACAACAACATACACCAACAAACAAAGCATCCCTCAAAACCCCGAACTTTAGAGGAGCTCCAAGGGCTGGACGTGCTGTGATGAAGACCAAGACGAGGGAGTCTTAGAGACCCCCACCTCAATTTCCAGAGGGGCGTGCCGGGGGCAGAACCAGGGGCAGAACTGGGAGGATCTGGGGGGCGGATAGATCTGGGATTGGACGGACAAATATCTTAAACTGTGGAACGCCCTTGGACACGGGCACACGTCTGTATCTCCGGGGTGGCCGAAGGGTTTTTATTAAACCTGTTCTCTACTTTATCTCTACTAATAATTGCCTGCTGAGTGTATTTTTGGCTCCCGGCCGATCCTTTAAGGCAAGACTCCCAAAAAAGGAAGGTTACAGCCCAAAATTTTCCATGGAAGGGCGTGCAAAACACTATTAAAACCTGCGAGGTTTCTCATCTTTATATATATATATTGAAAACTAATATTAACTCGCATGTAAATTTATTTCAAAATGCTACCCTATATGTGCTATATCGCACACAGGATCTCAGAGTTTAAGGAATTCCCACCGCGCGACACCCGCGGGCCGGGAGCGGCACCGCGCGGGCAAATGGCGCATGCGCACGGACGTTACTGGCGCCCAGCGTCACGTGATAAGTGTGGGCGTCCTAGCAACCAAGCGGCACGTGCGCAGTGGCTCCGCTGACTCTCCTGTGCCCCCTGCTGGTGAAAAAGCGGTACCACAAGGAAGAGCCCCGCGCATGCGCAAAGAGCGGGCGCGGCGGAGCAGGGACCGGCCGGTGCAAAGATGAAGTGCCAGGACCGCAGTGGAGTTCCAAAGACAGGGGCACCCACACTGCGAAGGGCGTGTTTCAATACTGATGAATAAACTTGCCTGATCTGTATTTTTTCCCCTTCAGTAATGAGAGAGTTTTGCTAGGAACTCTGTATAAAAATATAAAATAAAATTACTTTTTAAATGAAAATTCTTTTTGTTTTCTGTATGGTACTCAGATCTTTCCGAGGACTGGATGTGGC